ATGGATAGTTTCTGGAACTACACAATCTCCATTATGCTTCATGATTATAATAATACAGATATAAAACATACCTTTCCAGAGAGGAGAATAACACCAGTATCCTCATCATAATAAGGTATAAGAATGGATGGAGCAACCTCCAGTGTAATGGTATGAACAGCAGCTGATAGGTCATTCACGTTATACAGACATAGGATCCTGTGACTTGATCTAACAAAAATGTACAGAAAATCAAGCTAACTTTAAGGCATGCATGCTGGTCCATATGACAGTATGGAGGTCACAAGTTTCATTGGAGGAAACTGTCCAATCATATGTTTCCTAGGGAAGGATACTGGAATGTTACAGTGCATGTAGGGGGCCAGAAGAGCCAATTTTAGAAATTGAAATACAGTTTACAGGTATAGCTCAGTTGGTTAAAGTGCTTATAAGCCTTTACACAATATTTTCAGAATTGAGTCTTTAAATAGTGAAAAGTTGATTGTGAAAATAATTCATCATTTGAATGTCGGGTCTTTGAGATATGAAGGTTTATATTTCCAATATGTTAATGACTATGACGTAACGTAAGGGATTTGATTTATTTTGTGGCAACTTTTAATATTGAATGCTGGACATTTTTTGAAAACAAATTTGTAAGAACCTTTACGTGAGTCACGAGTAAAAGGGTGATGCTTTTAAAATACTGTATTCCAGAACTAGTGCAGTGTTGTATATTAAATGATCCCTTATGTTACGTCATAGTCATTAAYMTATTGGGAATAWAAACCTTCRTATCTTAAAGACCCGACATTCAAATGACGAAATATTTTCACAATCAACTATCCACTATCTAAAGAATCAATTCTGAAAATATTGTGCAAAGGCTTATAAGCACTTTAATGCACAGCCTTTGGAACTAGAGGTCCACATTTCAATCCTAAGGATCTTCATGTCTGTTTTGAATTCTCTCTACAACTGCTATGTACACACATTATTATTATTAACACGTTATTATTAATCTGTGTAGCTTCAACGCTGAATACTCTTAAGACAGAGCACTGATGGAGATACAGGGTAAAGTGCACACTGTGGACTTCCATTGATAGCAGCTGAATTTCTGAATTTTTGAAACTACCAACGTTACATCAAAGAGCCGCAGGTTTGGTATGAATGGGAAAAACTATGAATTATATCAATTTTATATAATCTTAATTGCAATCAGACTGAATTTTCTTGTCAGTAATGGCCAGTAAATGATACATTTTGATCAGATGAATAACAAGGTTCAAACAATGTGAGGCTAATATAGAGTCAGTCATAATGTGTGCACTTTGTTACAGTCAAACTATATGACTTTGTATGCTCTCAGTCAGTAATGCATGCTTTCTACTCCTGCAAAGACCAGCCTGGGCACCTAATAATCAATTTACTGAAAGCTGAAAATATAATTATTATACCTGTACTTACCTATGAAATCCTGAAACGGCAAGGTATTGTCCTTCATGACCTGCCCAGGTGATACGACCCCCTCTGGAACCCTCTGGACCATCACCAATCTATTCAAAATACATAAATCAGGGTACAACATTAACTTTTAAACCCACTAGCATTAAACCTTGCTATATACAAAGATTTCAAAGTCACTAAAAAAAGGTAAAGGTAATTTATTTTACTTCGATAACACGGGGAGTGGTTGCCCAATTCTCCCGAGCCAAGGGCTCATGTTTAATGCCCTCGAAGGTACGCCCTTTACCCCTCTCCCCACTAGCGATCGGACGCTGTGAATAACAAGCTTTACTTGATGCAGGTTGTAAACTTTTCAGTCCTTCAATTTCTGGACTGTGGTCATACTCTCAAAACGTAGCTAATAATTAAAGTTTTTATACATCACTAATACAAAATTCACCCGCATTTTACGAGTTTAGGAGCGTTAATTTTTCCCCCCTATAAATGACAAAGATAAAATATCATCTTGATCAGAGATAATCATGACCATATGACCATGTATGTTTGTATAATACTGCATTATACAAATTACCTTGTGCATTTTAGTATTATAGTGCAGGGAAAGAAAATGTAGCAAGAATATGCCAGTTTTCCATTTGATGCATACATGTACCATGCTAAGCCTTGTTTATAAGTCGGTTATATTCATAGATACCATTTTACAGCATTATTGCTGCCAGAACCATTATTATGGTCATGATCAATATTGGTCCTTATCATCATTGTCATTGTCAATTGTATTTGAATAATGGTTTTGACTAGTTTGTTTTAGGATAAATGGATCCTTGTTATTATGATGAAGGTAGCACTTTTAGCCAATGACTAACAAACCCATGATTAATAGTTGAATTCATGGAATTTAGGATTAGATTTTTGTGGAGGAAAGAAAACTGGAGGACCCTGTTCTTTTTTATTTTTTGGTGTCAGATGGTCATAAAGTACACAATTACCAACTAATTAAAATATAATAAATATTACTGGACTATACCTTGGTATATGTCGTATTTGCCCTGGGGTCATAAATTCTTATTTTCTTGTCTCTGCTTAATGATGCAAGATGTTTTCCATCCAAACTCCAACAGAAACTGAAAATCTTCAAAAAGTATTTATGAGGTAAATAACATGCTTTCATGATGGCATCTTTTAACGATCATACTACGAATGCTTTGCCAACCTTTTTTTCCCTAAAATCCTTTTTAAAATCCTCAAAAGGGTTTTTGGATGATACTTAGCATGTAAACAAATTTGTTGCATTAAAAAAATACCTTTTTTATGTTTTACTCAAGGTGCAGTAATACTGGCAACGAAGTTGTACAACATGTCATGCAACAAGTTGCAGGGCAAAATGTTGCTAGTAACAATTTAATGGTAGAACTTGTCACACAACACTGTGTTACCTGTTCTTCATGGCCCTGTAATGTAATAACATACTTCTCGGTCTTCAAATCCCACAATTTGATTGACAAATCAAGAGAAGCCGAAGCAAGAAGATTTGATGCAATGGGATGGTACCGTACTATGGTTGGTTTGTCTTTATGGCCTGGTAACAAAAGGAGGTTGAAATTTTTAATTAAAAACTTTGTGTAAAGTTAAAATTATTACTTTTTTGGGTACCAATTCTTTACATTTTGTTCTTAGTTTTTTTGATTCCCTTGGTTTTTTTTACTTCTTTCCATTTTTTCTTATCCACCTTTTTTTCTTTTTTCTCTTCCACTTTACACCCTCCTCCTCCCCCTCCCCCTCATTCCCATTCCTATGGGAATTAAACCATTGAAGTCATCCAATGCACTAACCTATTAACCTAGTGATAGGTTTATCAATGATCTCAGTCAGTCCACCTTGTGGGATCTCCCATATTCCAATTACACCAGTATCACAAGCTTAAATAGATACATATACCAGATTGTAAGTTACATAGAAAAGAAATCCTAAAAGCTATAATTACTGGAAATTGTAGATGTAAAGACAAAAAAGTTATTGGCAATATTGGGGGAAGGGGCGAGATGGAAGACCAAAACAATTTTGAGGGAGAGGGTGGGGATTAGCCTATGTAAAAATGTAAAATAATACAAAATTCTGAATATTAACCATTTTTTGAGAGTGAAGGGAAATATACCCGTCGCGTTTTAGGACCTGACTTTTGCTGTATTGTTGCCCGTATTGCGATACACCGATACACAACATGCCATAGGGCTACATATCTAAGCAATCCAAAATCCAATGTAGTCCCCTGGTCTCTCAAAGGATCAGCTAATATACACCACACGGCCACACATACAACGATACAGGAGATAAACAACGACACAGCACTACCGCAATACAGACGATACAACGATACAGTTGTTACAACGATACAGCACTACTGCGATACAACGATACAACGATACAACGATACAGACAATACAGAC